CCATTAGCCAATACGAAGGTGGGGAACGGCGGAGAATAAGGTCTGCTGACTGCATGGATCCAGGAGCGCGCCATGTGATACTATCCAGAGGGTGTAAGTGTCTAGCGGATTGGGGAAGCCGGACAGCCATCTATTGACATTTTATCCTGCAGATCGTCAGAATGTGCGTCTGTAGAGCACAGCTGTTGAGCAGAGATTAAATATATTCAACGGGGACGTCATATTCCTAACTTACCTCTGGAAGAATAGAAGGCAGACCACGACGATGCGGCGTGGCTACCTCATTGCGGGAGAGCGTCAGTCAGTTCTATTCATATACCTACTTACGGCTGGGAAAGGCTGGGGGCTGAACTGAAGAGCTCGTTTCCGAAGGACTCGTTGTGCCTTTGCATCGACTAGACTTGTTTGCAGATATTGTCGCCCTCGGGGTTGGTGCAGCTCGGGTGAGCGGGTCGACGGTACTGAAGGCGCACTGAGTGATCCCGGTTAATATCAGATTGCGCTCAACACCGAGGGGATGTCCGTACGGCGCGTTCGTGTGCATCAGAGTGTTTGACTTGGATCCGCCTCGCCGAGATTTCCACTTGGTGGCGCGGCGTTGACCGAACTTAGTCTTCCGACACTCTCCGTCGAGTCTCCGACAAACCGACTGCCACGTCTTCCTAGCCCATTTTGGGACCTTAATTACTCCCACTTCTCCTCACATTGTAAGATATTTATTACACCCAAATGTCGGACACAGGCTCCCTAGAACGCCTTGTGTTTGTCAACGCAGAATGCGCCTGAAAACTATTCCACCTGGAAAAATCCAACAACGCAGGTATACATCCAAAAGCAGCGTGCTCGATGTATCCGTGAGTATTCCAATTGCCCAAGTGTCGCCTTGCTTACTGGACATATTCTGCTACAGGTATAATATAAACAGATATACAAATTACCGTAGACCCAGTGGCACCTCAGCTGCATGCGGTGGTTGCTGAGATCTAGGCTGCAAAATTGAGACAGACGCCATGGTCCAGAGATGCTTGTTACGTAGTGTGAAGCCAAATAACATCAGTCTTCGTCTGGTCGTCCTTATTTGGCTGTACATTATGTCGAGTCGCGTCGTCTCTTTTGTCGCGAGGATCTTTCAATACATGGTCAAGGCCAATCGCAGACGCCCTCAGACCAGAATCGAGGGCAAGTCCCACGCACCCCTGAAGCGCCGCCCTTACTTTCTCCATTTTTTACTCTACTCTTCGAGTCTGCCCGCCGACAGTGCTGTTTTTGTACTCTCTTCTCGGTATGCTTTGTCGAAATGTCGTCGCTCCAGGGCAGGGCTAATCCTCCAGCAAACCAGATGTCAGGGTCTAGCAGTCGTGGAAGCTCAGGAAGGGGAGGTGTACGTGGTGGCGCAGGCGGCGGTCGAGGACCAGCTCGGGGGCCTGGCGGGAGGAACGTCGGCGGGAAGGGTACCTCAGCGAAGAGCCAGAAGCGAGACATTATGGATGGACTGCTGCCAGACCCTGTCCACACCATGCTCAAGCCGCAGGATACGCCAGGCGAGCTGGACGCAGAGATCTCGGACGTCGAATACCTTGGTTCGTACACTTGGGTCAAGAGCGACAGGCCTATGATCGCTGTTCCAGGTCATACCCTATCTCTAGTGTAGTCATCTTGGAGTCTCACCCTTCCTCACAGGCTCACCGCGCATCTGGTCGCCACCAACGCTCCCCACGCAGGTACAGCCCGATGGGGGGCGGACGTTCGTCGACCAGAACAGCTTCCGGCTTGGCGCGCACGCGCTCGCTCCGTCTTCGCCGCCATCGATGCGCTCGACGCGTCCGGGGATCGGACACCGCCGCAGTGGGGTGCCGTTGACGTCGTCACGGACCGCAACAACCTCCTGAAGCTCCTCGCGTGGGTGGACCCCGCATCCGGAAAGAAGCACCGAGGCGCGTTCCGCATCGACGTCGAGCTCGCCGAGCCCTGGACGATCCTATTCCGGCGGTGGGAGGAGCGCGACGCGGTCAATTCAGACGGGTCGGGTTTCGGGGACTCATTTGAGCGCGCCAGCTCGCGCGATGCTCTCGGACACGAGCAGGGTACTTTGGCGGGGCACCATCAGATCATCGCCTACGTAAGCCCACTCTCTCGTACTCCGGTAGTGTGTAGCTGATAGCGCCGATATATGCAGGACTTGTCTGGCATCAAAATAGTGTTGAGATACGAAGTCGACGCGTACCGAATCTCCGAGCAGCCCTCCATAGACACTCTCACTGACCAATTATCATCCCTGAACGTGGGGTCCGGTACAAGCGGCACGGAACAGAAGGTCTCCGAGCTTGTCGACATCCGGCATATAGGCTTCGCAGTCCCGCAATCCTCTCTCGTCAAGGTCAAGTCCCGCTCGCAGCTCAGCAAAGGGCGGTTTCACCTCGAAGATGCATACCTCCAGCTGTATCTCGGCCAGATCCCCGCCCTCTGCCTCGGGATACACGACGGCAATGGCGTCTTCACCAGTACCGATGAGATCCGGCTCGACTCGGAGCGTTGCAGCGCGGCCAAGGAGAAGGTGCAGCCGGGCTTGCGCAAGCTGCGCCGCCTCCTGGAGCAAATTCAGAGCGCCGTAATACAGCGCGGCCAGGGTGCGAAGCTCAGCCTTATCTGCCAAGGCGGAAAGCTGCTGCTTATGCAGAGAGAGCCTGGCGACTCGTTCTTGCCGCCTACTATACTCAAGCGCTTCACCAGCTGAGTGATCCAGGTCAGTGTGCCTTGTGATCTCTCGCAAAAATGAGACAATGACGCTCCCGAACGTAGAATCAAATCTACATATAAATAACACGCCTGGAGTGCTGTGTTCAAGACATCTGCTGCAGTTGTACATTTTATCTGATTTATTCGCGTTATCTGGTCATCTGCTATTGCGGTGCACTGGTACATGCTCGAAAACTTGATAGTAGCTCTCACCGG